TCTGAGTATATTTAAATATGGATGACACTTCACTCCAAAACTCCAAATGATCATTTCCAACAGCTTCATATTGATGTTCAATAGCCACTGCATACCCTCCAACATTCCTCAGATGAAAAGAGGGACATTCTTCCTTTCAGGGTGTTCTCACAACTTTCCACCTGTGAGCATAAAGATCCCTTGCTTTGGAATTTTGCTGATCAATATCCCCAGCCAGAAGGGTTATGGACTCTTGGAAAAGTCAGTCTGATTTTTTATTTTTAAAAAATCATTATATAACATGTCCCAAAGAGCTTACCCTCCCTGCAGGTCCACCCCATGTGACAGAATGACCCCTTGCAATGTTTACATTTCCAAAACTGATGGGGTACATTCTTATACATTCAAGCTAACCTCTTTGTGTTGAATGGTTTATTTAAACATTAAGGTTTATTATTGTTTCACAAGATGCATATCTCTTTAAAAGCCAGAGTAGATATCATGGCCTAGTTTTACAGCTGTGAAACAGTATAGCAGGTGCTGTTAAGTTGTGTTAATTAAGCTGCATCAGCAATTGGATATAGTATATAAAGAGCAGTGTGTATCTCTCTCAGTACTCTGGTGAATGGGTCATACTTATAGATTTAATGTAAGAGGAGTCTTTCTTTTTGTAATTAAAGCCAAGCAAAAGATTTTTTTGTGTTTCTTTGTTGTTTCCTGAATGTGTGGTCTCCCTAGCATGCTTTCTGCAGCACAATTAATCTGCTATATATGCAACACTTTGGAGTTAAATACCATTGGTACATCATCTTATAATAATTCTCTCTTACAATAAACATGTCTAAATAAGAATGTGAAAAAGAAGATAGTGAGGGAGGAGGACATGAGCCCAATGTCACTCTCTTCACCCCCTCCATTGTGATTACCAACATCTGGGAGTCTCATTCTTCTTAGAAGAAAAACAGCTGCAGTAAAAGATTGTCCCTTAAATCCGCAAGCTTCTCTGGACAGAGGCCTGCAACCCCACCCCCTGCTCTTAAGTGTAACCAACTTATGTTAAAGAACAAGTGGACCAATTCTTTACCCCAAAGACAAGTGCATTTAATGGGACTGAGGAAATCTAGATCGTGAGTCACTGTGCATTTTATAACTGTACAATAAAGGAAATTCTGGAGAGACATTTGTCCCCCTTTCAAAAAAGTTCATGCTGTCAGGGAAACTGTCTTGGCTTCCAGAAACGTAATCCAATTTCAGTGCTGTAACCTGATGGGACTCGTTTCTCCACATCCAGGGTTGAGAAACTGAGGCTGGAACAGATTAGGAGGGACGTGTCCTTGGAGTTCTTGGAAGGGGGAAGAGATTTAACTGGTTTTCAACACTGTGCTTTACATTATCTTATAGCATGATTAGAATTCTAGCAATTTGTGACACTGTCCTGATCACCTTGTTCCGGGGTCCTGGCAAAGTGTTTCTTGCAATCTTCTATAAATTCCCCCAACTTTGTGCATTAGTTCCTTGCTCAGCCCAGTGCTGCTCTCGAACACCTTCCTGGCTCTTCAGCTCTCTAGAATGGTGAAGACACTCCTGATCTCCTGCCTCCTCTTGGCCCTTCTTCCTCCAGGTGAGCAGAACCACAGCTGCTGTGCTGATCATCATGTTTCCAGGAAGGAACTAAGCGGGGGGTCAGCCATTAAAGCAGGAGAAGAAAGGAACAAGGAGTTGTGGTTCCTTTGAAAGGGAGAGGAATAAAGCACAAGGCCGAACTACAAGGGATCCTCCATGATAGATTTTTCTTCTTCCCAATACTCAATTTTTATTTAACCAAATGTGTACAGAGAGGTGTGGTATTCCCAAGTACATTGGGGGAGCAAGAGAGGCAGTAGCTCACTCTTTGATAAACCAGAATACTAGCTTATATCTAAAGCAAAGAGTAAGTTTCTTGCATTTGTAAAAACTTATGATAGGAGACAATGTATATGATAGGAGACGATCTCATATTTTGGAGTGGAATTATCCTACCCAAATTCAATGTTTTAGTTTGCTGGTGTTACACTCCACCCCAATCTCTGAGTGGAGTCAGGTTTTAGGGGTACCAGATGCACTTATCAGAGCCTTTACTATGTTTGCTGGAGCTGATGCGAGTTGTAGTACAACAACTTCAGGAGGGTTAAAGGTTTCCCAACACCTTCTCTACTGGTCCTCTCCCTCAGCCTGCAGGAGCCATCATGGACAATCATACTCTGGTCAATGCAAGGCCCACCCCCATTCACAGAGTTTAAGAACTACAGAGGGAATATATATAGAAAGCATTACATAGATGAACAATGGCCCATCTAGTCCAGCATCTTGTTCTTGCCATGGGTCCTATGGGAAGCCCGAAAGCAGGACCTGAGTGCAACAGCTCCCTTTCCAGAAACTAGTATTCAGATGAATAGTGCCTCCAATGTTGGAGAAAGAATATATCAATTGAGGATGGTAACCATTAATTTATCTATTCCGCTTTCGAAGCTATCCAAGTTGGTGGCCTTTGCTGCCTCTCGTAAGATGGGGTTTGAAGCAGAAAGTGTTGTATTTCTGTACCTTGACACAGACCTATTCCCCCTACATAGTTGCTAAGGATTTGTAAACCCATTACTCCCTGTCTGCAGTGGCATCTCTGATATGTGAGTCTTGTTGGAACAGTGAAGGAACAGATTGCCGCGGCGAGACTGAGGAGTGTGATGAGTCCAGTGACCAGTCCTGCATGTCTGTTGTTGGATTTGGCAAAATGCGTAAGTGAGAACTTTCAACCTTTTTGACCACTAAAACGTAAACCCCCTGACTCACTTTCTAAGGCCATATCTTAGCCACAAGCCACGGAACATGACTTTTCATAAAGAGTTGTTCTAAGTTCTGCATTGCCTGTAGGAGCAGGGAAGAAATTCAAGACAGTTCGTATTTAAAGGTGTGTTTACTCAATTGGCAGAGCAAAACAAAGCCATCCTTCAGAATCTGCACTTCTCCCATTTTTGCAATTCAGTTGTCCAGCCATGTAATCAGTAGACAAATGCACATACTAGGGTAAAATGTGCATATAAGAACCTACAACAAAATCAAGCAACAGCCACATAATTGATATAAAAACAACAAGCCAAACAATATCCCAACTCAAGTGTCCGTCCAGCAGCCTCAGCTTTTGTAGTTGGAGTCAGTCTGTTGGTTCCCATCTCCCAGGCCAAGTGAAAAATGACCTGCAAGGCAGAGAGCTAGTCTGCCAGGATTCACAGCCAAGATGGTCAACAAACTTCCTGCCCATGACTGCTTAAATCAGTATGACCCTGCAGATAGGGCCTAAGAGTGAAAATAACATTCAGACTAAATGTTGATTGGGGGGGGGGGGAGTTGGAAACTGATATGAAAATGTGGAGAAATGAACTTAAAATAAGAAACCAAGAGAAACTGATACTGACATATTGCCCCTTCCTAATTGCCTGCGGTACATGCTCCCTTTATGAGCTCCAGCATCGACTCTCATTGGTCCAGTTACGTGGGCAGCAACAAAACTTATTACATTGATGAATTGCTTCCCACGAAGCCTTCTGAACTGATCCCATTCAGTAAGGAGAAGGGTGGTAGAAACCTCTGGAGGGCCAAAGGTTCTCCATTCCTAACTCACATTCAACAATTAGATAGAACTGGAGATGTCTCTTTCCGCTCCAAGCAGGGCCTGCTCAACACAATTGAATACCTGAGGAAAACCATGAAATATTCCCCACCCCGCAGACCGGGAAGAAAAGATGACTGAAGATTAGGCCTGGGCGATTTATTGACATGTCGCCACAGGACCAGTATGAGGGGCAGACCATGATGAAAGCTTCACTCAGCAGTAAATCAGTGGGGGAAACCCTGCCTATCCTTAGTCCTTCTGCCTCCAGCACGCTGAGGAAAAACGAAACAAGCTGCAGCCGGGAGCTGGAGGCAGAGGGACTCATGAGGGGTGGCAGTTTCATCAACAATATATCACTGAGTGAAATCATCATCATGGTCTGTCCCTCATACCGTTAAGGGGAGAAACAAGCTGCATGACAAGGCTTATAAAACTTGTTCATCCCTCCTTCCCTCCTTAAACTGCTTGGGTTAAGAGCACACCGCTGCCCTCACCTCAGCCAAACAGTTTTGCAGAAACCCCAGCCCACCACTGGCTCACACTGCTCCCCCTCCCCAGCTGCAAGAGCCATGACCCCGCTCCTGCTTGCACACGCGTAGGAGAGGTATCCCAGCTGTTCACCTGGTGTACTATGGGCTCCATCACCCTTTCCCATTGAGGGGGGCATGGCTGCCCACTGCTCAGTGTAGAAGCTTGAAGGAGCCCCCATCTTACACGAGCCAGTGGTGAGGTGCACGCTCTGGGTGGAGGTCGTCTTGGCTGTCGTCTTGGCTGCCACCTGGCTGCCTTTTTCACCACAGTTGGAAAGACGGAGGCCACCCTCTTGGTTGAAGACAGCCAGGCAGCGCAGGCAGTCATGCTCTGCAAGCGAAGATAGAGTGAGGTGAAGATTGAGTGAGTTTGAATCCTGTGCCTTGTGGATTTCACTTGGGAGGGTGGGCTGCATCTTTCCTCCTGGAGAGAATGACCACCCCTTGAGAAAAGAGGCTGTGTGCCTCCATGGACACCAGCGAAGGTGGAGGGAGCCTCATAAAGGAGCTCCGAGGTCCCTGCCACGAATGACAGGGGCATTGGGTGGCTCAAATGGGGGAGAGGAACTGACGAAGAGGTGGCAGATCTTGCCTTCAAGTTACACACCACAGCTTCAAAGGCAGCAACATCAGACAATTCTTTACTTGGCGGTCAGATCTGCTGCCCCTGTGGATCCTGCCACATAAGGTGATAATCAAAGCTTTCCTCATGAGTGCGCCAGCCCTGTCTCCAGGTCTAGTTATTTCCTTCCTATTCTTTTTTACTAGTTTACACGATCCCAATGGTTCTCAAGTCCTGCATCAAGACAGAGTTGTGTGATGCAAACTATTCCAGTGGCTCCCTAATGGATTTAATGTACATCTACAGCAAGCTCTCCTGCTGCAAGACAGATATGTGCAACAGCGGACCTCCCGAAGGTAAGTATCATCATCAGGAAAGATGGTTTCACAAAACTCAAGCAATGAGAGAGGTCAAAGAAAGACAAACAAGTTTTTGGCAGTATCCTGATGTCAGGGACTGGCTAGACAAGGAGGAGTGGTGGCAGCCAGTCGCTCCAGGAGGTGCCTGAGGGTGGCACTAGGAAAGAAGATTTCAAACCTGATTCAGATTGGTGGGACAGGGAGGAGCCACTGACAGAGGGAACCAGAAGGGGAAGCATTGGAGCCATAGTATGGGGGTGGCGGGAAATAATACAACAAAACCCAAAATCCCAATAAGATTACTAGAACAACATGCAGCATTCATTAGCAAAAATTACAAGGGAGCGTCACAGTTTTACCTTAGTCCTAGAAATACCCCTCCCATAATGTTACTCACAGTTCCTCTCCTGTAGCAGCTTCTGGTATTTACATCCTATGCTTTCCTCCAAAAAGCTTGAGCTCCCGCTCACCATTTTAGCCTCAAAATATCCAGTAAAATAGGTTATGCTGAGAGATGGTTCCGGCCCCAGGCCACTCAGCAAGTGTCATGGCTACAGTGGAATTTGAACCCTGGTCTCCTAGATTCTAGTCCAACCGTCTAACCACTACACCTCACTGGCTCATTGGTTTCCCAGTGCTCTAGCCCCCAAACCTGCACCAACCCACTTTCTTTGATGCATTTGCATTTGTAGAGATATTTTTAGTGGGACAGGCCCCTGTCCTTCTTGTGTGAGAGGGAACTGATTTCTTTTAGGTTTGCATCCAGAGAATTAATATCTTCAGGTAAAAGCAAATGATAATACAGATCTATTAGATGCAATGGGCTCCTGTGCCACTTAATTACTAAGCTATAGAGGAACAGTATCTACACAAAGGGGAGAACAAGCAGGCGGTGCAAAAATGAGCATTCACACTTTACACTGCTGGTGCCCTTTGCGGGATCGTGTGTGGTGCTACAGTTCCCAGGGAGCTTACTGGCAAACGGGCTGGCTTGCCTCTCAGTGTTAATTTCTGGAGGTTCACACCCAGCCTCAGTAATCAAGTTTCTTGCTGGGAGGTGGAGCCAGCCCCATTTATAAATAGGGTCTGGAGCTGACAATAGCCAGGCATTCGGCTCCGGAGATTCACCCTCCCTACCCTCCCTTTGTTTAATGTTTCTTGTTTGCAGGTTAACTTTTTCTTCCTGTTTAGTAGGTGCTACTACGGTCTTTGACTGGTTGCTGTTGAAGGACTGGGAAGAAATTTTCTTGCATTGGCAGGTTTTGTCTTCCCCATAGCAACTTGTCACAATGGTTATGGCCTTGGGTGGAATTATTTAGTCCTTTCTTCCCTGTAATGGGGGGGGGCATAAAGGGTGGCTCACCCCCCTGTGGTGGCGATTCCAGGTTCCCTCTTAAAGGGGTTATATATATGGGTCTCACTGGCCATACACTGAAAGGTTGTCAGTGAACTACCCTGTGTGTGGGGATATGGGCTTGGCTGCCTGCTACACTTATGTCTCGCAGAGCACCCTCCTATCCCATTTACCTTGATGAGCCCCAGTTCCCCCCGGTTGGGGGGCCGGGAGGGATACACGCCCAAGACCTAAGCCAAGGTCTTCCTACATAAAATTGTGGCCTAATTTTAATTCCATATAACGTTGTCAGAGATCCTGCTTTTTACATCTTACCTTTTCCTCCAAAGTTCTGGAGGTGGCGTGTCTGGCTCTCCTGCTCACCATTTTAGCCTCAAACACCCATGTGAAATAAATCAGACTAAGGGGCAGTGTCTGGCCCCAGGTCACCCAGCAAGTGTCGTGGCTCAAGTACAGATTTGAACTCTAGTCTCCTCCCACCCTTGTTCTTGATGGAGATGTTCACTCACTCCTCCTTCCTTGGTGGGAGGAGGCACCATTTTGTGGTTTGCCTTACCATTTTCCCCACCCTGGTGTATGCTTTTATTGAAAGCACTATAGCAACACTAGGACAAAGAATTATGTGAGAGGTAGTTTATTAAGGGTGCTGAGAATTTATAGGAAAACCCCTAACCCCCTCACAGAGTAATGGATTAGCAATCAAACCCCACACAATAGCTCTTATTACCTACTATCTTTATTGAAATCATTATTATCTTTATGAAATCATTATTTTACCTAGAACTAAGCACATCTTTTTCCAGAAGAGATTTTTTAAAGGATAAAACTGCTGAGAGCTTTCTTTCTCTTTCTCTTTCTCGCTCTAAGAAAGAGGGCCAATTTGTAGAATTTTATCATCGTTTGTGTGCATCTGTGGCTACCATTTTGTCTCTCAGAATGCCCCCCAATGCTGCTCAGTGCTAAGCCCAATTGCTTAAAGTGGTATCCCTGTGCTTGAAATGTATGCTGTGAATGTGGCCCCAGTCAGAAATCTCTTGCCCCATGCCTTAATGTAGCCCTGGATGAATGGAGCATGGCTGAAGCACTCTGCTTGGAGAAGTGCTGGAAGGTGGTACACATCCCTCTTTGAAGGAGGAGAACAATTACTGCCCCTTACATACAGCAAGTTGTGGTTTGCATCTGCAAAAGAAATACATTGACCCCCATCTTGGGGTGGTGTGGTGATTGTTTTACAGTTCCTGAGCATGAGAAGAGGAAGGACAATGGGCTGAAGTGCCCGAGTTGCTTCGAATCCCACACAGTCGTGTGTGAGTACATCAGTACCGTCAACTGTAGAAATGAGGAGGATCAATGCTTCTACTTTGGGGTTCATTTTACTTTCGGTGAGCCTTGTATGATGGAGTGCAGTTGGGGCCCATCTATACTATGCATTTAAAGCAGTATCACACCACTTTGAGCAGTCATGGCTTCCTCTAAAAGACGCTAGGGTACTTAGTTTATTAAGGGTTCTGAAGTTTATTAGGAGACCCACGTTATGTACTGAGCTTAGATCCTAGAACAATAGGCAAGTAGGATCCTAGATGGCAGCACCCTGATTGGTCTGCAGGAGCCGCCCAATCTGGCTCCAGAAGGAAGTGAACCAGCAAGCTGATTGGCCTGCAGCAGCAGCCCAATTAGGCTCCAGGAGGGGAGTTGAATCAGCCAATCATGCAGGACCCATTGTGTAAATAATGTATATATAGCCACTCCCTGTTCATCATGAGCTGATATAAAGAGCATGAAATCAACACTCAACTCCGAGTATATTTCAGGTTTTATCTGCTTTTATTGCTAATGTAAATATTTCTTGTAAACCCCTAGCAGTTTTTACTGCAATCAAGCAATATATAGATTTTGTTAAATAAAAATACATCTTAAAATTTGTACTTTCATTTGGAAGAGGAGGAAGGATGGAGACCCACAGGCCCAAGATCCAAGGGCATCCCTCTAAGACTCTCTTTCTCTGGCCCTTTGGATCCTACTTAGCCACACCTCCTCACCCTAGGCCACACCCCTCACAAGCCCCACTTCATACCCTACCTGCATGCTATGGCCTGGCTGGGTTGTTGCCCCTGAACTCTTGGTTACCTGGAGGGAGGACAAAGAGGGGGATTTGAATGTATCTAGAAAATAGCCTGCCGTGTAAAGGTGAATTTTACATATGTTTCCATTGGCATGTGCACCTCCCAGAAGGTCACCCAGAATCAAAAAAAGCTCTTGGTCTGAAAAAAAGTTGCCCACCCTTCTGTTTGAGGGAGAGGGTTTTGGATTCCAAAAGCAAATGTGTGTTTTTTTCCCTAACAGGGGGAGCTGACATACTGGGCGCTCTCCGAGGCTGTGCAACAGCTACTTTCTGTAACCGGACTGATTGGTTGTTTGAATATCTTTTTGAAAGATTAAGTATTGCGGTCATTCATGCAGAGTGCACCAAGGCAATGGAGGACGATGCCAATGAGCTTGTAGCTGAGGGAAGGCAAACCTCCACAGCCCAGAAGAACCCGCCATTTATGGAAAATGGCGGCCTAGTGGTTGAAGAGGGGAGGTCTAAGCCTGAGGACTCCCAGGCTTTCTTTCCAGAAGTCTAGAAGCTCCTCCTCAAAGACAGGCTGTATTTGACTTTCATGTGCAAATGAAGTCATTGAATCATGTCCAAAATAAATATATATGGCAAATAATGTGTGTTCTATCATTTATTCAAATGCATCATTTGTTGGAAAAAATAATAGTGCTTGGAGATAGGAGATATATTTCAGGAGTGAAATCCCTAGCCAGATTTCCATGTCCAATTTTAATCAATAATGTGTCAACTTTGGGCTCCCTTGTTGTCAGGGATGGTGCATCCCATTATGCCACTTGAGGTGAAATGGGGAATGGCACAACAGCTGTGCTGTGTAACTCACAGGAAAGCATCCCTTCCCTAGGTTGCGTGGCAACAGCACAAACTGGCATGGCGGCAGCAAGTTCTGGTTAGATTTCATGAGATTTTGGCGAGAGCTTGCTGGAAAATGGTGCTGATGCCAGTGCCATTTTTCTGCCGCCCCTGGGGCAGGTGGGACACCACTTATTGTGAGAAAGACATCAATAAACTGGATTGTGTATAGTAAAGGGGACTGCACAACCTTAAAAAAATACAGAGAAGAAACATTTAGAATGGGTACAGAACCTGTGGCCTTCCAGATGTTGAAAGACTCCGATTCCCGTTGATCCCAACTAAGAATGCTGGAGAAATTGGCATTTTAATCAGGAACAACATAATTCACACCAGATCTCTGTTATGCTTTGAAATTCACACTTCCTCAAGTTTTTTGTTGCAGTTCACCAGCTAAACAATGTGAAAAATACTGCACACATTAGGGCAGAGGCAACACATCCTGTTTCACCTCTTGAAATCAGTTGCCAATACAAAAGGTCCCTGATGCCTATGTCTCCTTATTTCCAGGGCTTTTCCCAAAACTGACACTATGTGCAACTAATTTCTCCTCTGCCCTTTTAATGCCCCTCCTGGGGTTTTTTTTGGGGGGGGGGAGAAAGGGAAGAGCCTGTTGCAGCAGGATTGGAAGACACCTGTGACCAGGGGTGCCAACTTGGGCTCCAGATTGTGGGTACCCACCACACACCCACACACCCACACCCACACCCACACCCACACCCACCCACACACCATGATGTCATGCCATAACATCATGCCATCACCTGCTGCCCTTCAAGTAGAGATATGTATTGATGCTAGGGTGTATTTATTAGATTTTATCCTACCTTCCTCATACTTTGAGTACAGCAGCTTAAAAAGTCTTTATCCCTTTCTCCCCTTAAGAATCACACAGATTATTGTTGTAAAAGGTAAAGATAACATTTACTCACTCAGAATACTTGTTGAAGAGTAACAGATACAGCAGCTTTGTCCAGGCCGTCTTAAAATGGAGATCTAGTTACAAAGACATACTTTGGTCCAGCTTATGATGGAGTCTGAGTTCCAAAGCCCAGACAAGCACATGGTTCTACATTGCTGGATGGATGATGATGAGAGAGCAAAGAGGGAGGGGAAATACATATGCCAACCCCCCGATGGAAGAAGGAACTGATGCATGAAGAGCCTTAGTTGCAGGAATTTATAGATTATGGCAAGGAGCACTTTGCCAGCACTCAGGAACAATGGGTTCAGACAGTGTCACAAATTGCTAGAATTCTAATCGCGCTATAGCATAATTTAAAGCACAGTGTTGAAAACAAATTAAATCTCTTCCCCCTCCCAAGTACTCCTAATCTAGACTTTATTATCTGAGAAATAGAAAGAGGGAGGGAGAGAGAGATTGCGGGTGCTTTTTTTTAAAAAAAACAAACAAACAGCTGGAGACTCAAGGTTGGGAAACACTGGTCTAGAGGACCACAGCTTCTTATTCCTGCTCTTCACAATCTTATTGGATTTTCATCATCCTGAAGAGGAGCAAAAAAAATCGGAAAACTTTTTTTGTTCTTGTTTATAATATTTTATTAAGTTTTCGAATTTAATAATTCAATAAAAACCACATTATAACATTCCAAATGACAATATAATAAAAAAGCCAAGTATATTGCCAAATTATATATCTTTGTGTGACTTCACATGCTCTGAATTTTGCAGAGTGCTAATCATCTAATATCACATTGCATTTTTTAATTAGTCAATAATCCATTCCGATGTTGATCCTTCACTTCATTTTCATTTATGTATGCAACCACTGGTCTATTCAAACTCTCCTCTTGGCCTCCATCTAGCTGTTAATGAGATGATTCCTCCACACTAAAACAATAACTCCATCAGGAATTCCTTTCATCTTTCCCTTAATGATCATTGCCAGAGTCATAATCAAGATTTCACCAGTCCGTTTCATAATTAAGATAGTGTCCACTTACATTTTTCAAGCCGTTGTATTTTAGTCACAATGAAAGTCTTTCCCCAGATCGATTCCTTATTAGTGGCTGATTAAATCAGCAAATTATTTTAACTCCGATGGTTCAGGGCATGCCTGTTAATTAAGTGTGAATTTTTATCTTAAAAAGCAGGTGTTTTCTGCTCTTGACACTGACTTTGGAGAGTTGCCACAACCGTGCCGTGTACACCCAACGTCTCCTACCCCCTCTCCCTTCTGGATGGGCAGCAGATATCAGACGATCTGCAGGTGGAGTGCCCCCCTGACCCTTGGGGGGTTGGGAGGATAATTTCTCCTATATTATCCTCTAATACCAGCACAGAAGTTGGCACATCCGATAGTCATGGCAGACAAACAGGAAGTCAAAAAAGAAAATAAAAAAGACACACACACACAACCTATTAAAACCATGCCAATGATTGCAATAAAAACATCATGGCACCAGCCCTTAATTTAAAGTAGTCAGTTCCCAAAAACCCATTGGAACCAGAAATTCTTCACCTGCCATGGAACACACAGTGCACTGCCATCGTACTTTCTGACCCAGGTACTGTTGGAACTGGGGATTAAAAGCCAGCTGGCTCAGCCCCAGCTGGAGCATCTCCCCTCTCAGCTGCTGTGGAGATCCATTGACCTCTGCCCCTCTGACGTTCGTCAGTGACTCAAGCTGCAGTGCATACTTGAGCACACATTACTCAGTAGTGTAAACTGCGCAACAGAAGAGGCCCGAGGCGTAGATACAATACTAAGGCTACGTATTAGTTAGACATAAAACATGACAAAGAAAACATGTCTTCACTCCTTGCCGTCTTCTCAGAGAGAGACTGAAAAACAAAAGCAATACAGAACAGAAGTTCCACTCATGCCAGCAATCTGTGCTGGAATGTAAACAGACATGTTGTAGGAAGGTGAGGACAGGTGACCCCACCTAGGCCCGAAGTCACCCCCCCCAAAGCAGGCTCAAAGCTTCTCAAAGCGTTTCAAAATCATTTTCTCAGCAGCTAAAAGGCATTAGCTCATTTGCTCTGCTGTAACAAAGGTAGCTGAATAGAACAATTTTTCAGGCCAGTTGACCTCGCTAAAAGAACAGAACTGACTCTTATCTCATTCAGTTGCAACATGTTGGACATGCTGAAACCCCTTGGCTTCTCACCCCCTTTCCTGGGAAGAGTCCACAATAGTCCCAAAGATAGGAGCTTTCTGTTCATGCTCAGAGGAACTCATGGGCAGGACTCCTGGAGGAGGAGGAGAAAGGGGAGGGAACTAGAAGGGAAATATATGCTCTGTGCAAATGACTGTGAACCCGTGCTTGTTTTGTGAGTTATCACACTTGCTCCTTCTACCAGTTCAGGGATGGTAGAAATTAAGCTTTTTCTCTGAAACTATTCCTTGAGTGTCTGTTGACTCCCACTTCCCTTTCCCGGGTGCAATATTTTTCCCACCCGAGGGCAAAGCCTCATAAGGCTACAATGTGACATGTAACAATCCCACACATCTGCAGCAAAAGGTGGAATAGAATTCCAAATGCGTACACCTCCCTGGGGTCATGTCTAGTTTTGTCAGATGAGCAGTCAACCTGAGTTGTTGAGCTAAATGACGGGGGGGGGGCTCCCTTCCAGCTCTATGATACGATGACTTCTGCAGGTCAGATTCCAGATCAAGTCTCCAGCCACAGCGATGGATCATCCTGGTGGTGATCAACCCTCCCCACTACCCTTGAAAATTCCACTACTTCTTGCTGTTGTTATTGACTATCTGCTTCTCACCTTAAAGTCTCAGGATGGATTGTGGAATCAAAGCATAACATTCAGAACGGTTTTAAGCAATTTGCAATCAAAGAAATAAGGTGGGTTCTAAAAATACATAAAAAAATTGATAAACGTTTTCATTCCTTTCTCATAACACTAGAATCCGTGGGCAGCCAATGAAACTGAATGTTGGCCAAATGGCTGAAATACTGGGAATTTTTAGAACAAGATGGAGAAAGAATAAAACTGCAGAGCTATGAAAAATTGAAAAATAGAGTGCGAGATTGGCTCTATTATTATCAAATAATGGAGGCATACAATCTGGACAAAAAAGTTGGTTTCCAGATGGAAAAATCAAAATTGGAAACAGAATTGTTAGATCCAAAAACCAAGAATTTGTCAAGAATGTATAACTTGCTGTTGAAATGGAACACTCAGGATGAAACGGTGAAATCAGTTATGATTAAATGGGCACAAGATATTGGACATAACATAATGATGGCTGACTGGGAACAGTTATGGACCACAGGTATGAAATTTACGGCATGCAATGTCCTAGGAGAAAATTTAAGGAAAATGATTTATAGGTGGTACATGACACCAGTCAAGCTTGCAAAAATTTATCATTTGCCCGATAATAAATGTTGGAAATGTAATGAGACTGAAGGTACATTCTTTCACCTTTGGTGGACATGCCCAAGGATTAAGACATTCTGGGAGATGATTTATAACGAAATGAAAAAGGTACTTAAATATACCTTCCTGAAGAAACCAGAGGCCTTTCTCCTGGGCATGGTCGGCCAATTGGTGCCAAAGAAGGATAGAACTTTTCTTATGTATGCAACAACAGCAGCAAGAATACTCATCGCAAAGTATTGGAAGACACAAGATTTACCCACCCGGGAAGAATGGCAGATGAAGTTGATGGACTACATGGAATTGGCGGAAATGACTGGCAGAATCCGAGACCAGGGAGAAGAGTCGGTGGAAGAAGACTGGAAAAAGTTTAAAGACTATTTACAGAAATACTGTAAAATTAATGAATGTTAGAAAAATGTTGGAATGAAGTTATATGGCTTTAGTAGAAATGTTATAAGGAATTAAGTATAAATAGATTAATAGAGTATTAAAGGGAAAAATAAGGTTAGAATGTGTTAAGATAATTATAGGATAGAAAGCAGAGGAAGATGGAAAGGAATTGCTGAAACAATTAACAGAAGTGGAATACAAAAAGGGAGGTGTGAGGAGGTCGTGGAAACAAGTGAACGAAAGATAAGATATTGAAATTGTTTGATTTATTTTATTGTTGTTGTTTTGTTTTGTTAGTTTAATGTTTTGTATTGTATGTGTTTTTCCTTTTTTTAGTGTTTAAATTTTTTGGAAAAATAATAAATATATATATATTTTTTTAAAGAAACTGAATGTTGGAAGACTCCAGACAGATGGAAGAAAATGCTGCTTGAAATAGCACATGATTAAACTCTGGAATTCGCTCACAGGAAGTATTGATGGGCAGCAACTTGGATTTGCTTGACTGAGGATTAGAGAAAAAGGAATCATGGAGGATAAGGCTATCAATGGCTACTATCCCACTTGGCCATATCCTACCCCAGCTGTTGGAGACAGTATTCCTTTGAATATCAACTGCTGGGAATCACAAGGGGGGAGAGTGGGGTCACTTTCCAGTCCTGCTTTGAGGCTTTGCACTGGCATCACCCAGCTGTGAGTCGTGAAGGCCGCTTCCTGCAAGGCCTTTTCGACCTGGCCTACCCTAGGGGGCGGGGCCAGATTCACCAACTTTACTAAAGAGGCTCCTGGGGAGACCAGAGGGACATCGCTATGCCTGACCCCAAACCCTAAGTACGGGATTCTTCTGCCCCATCTTTTTGTGCCTGCCAAACAGCTGTGCCATGCTTCTGAAAATATTTTATTCTCTTGTTAATTATGCTGTTTTAAATGTGTTGTTTTAAATTATGCTGTTTTAAATTTTGATTTCACTTGGAAATGGTTTTTTTTGGGGGGGGCAATGTTTAAGATTTTTTTGTTTGTTAACTTTGGTTGTGTTAAATATATATTCCGTAGTTGGCCTCCTTTGCAATGGTTTATTTTGAAATCTTTAAGATAATATTTTAGTTTTCTGTTAATTATATTGCTTTGACTGTAAACGCTATATTTGACTTTCTTCAGGTTTTTTTTTGATGTTTTAATATTCTGTAAACCGCTTTGAGATTTTTCTTTAAAATATAAAGCTGTATAGAAATCAAATAAATAAATAATCTGGTTGGCCATTGTGACAACAGGGTTCTGGAACAACAGGCCTGGGTTTGTTTTTTATTTAATCATTTTTTCAATACAAACAGCAACCACACAAAACATATACAACAAAAACCACAATAACACTAATAACACAATTTAACAATTCAGATTTGAGTACTGATATACCTATAACTACACCTTTTAAACAATATTTCCCCACCTCTCCTCCCCTACTTCCCACCACTTTCCGCCTTATCGCTTAAGTATTCCTTCCAGATTTCTTCATATTTATCCATTCTTGATTTGCGTCGATATGCAATTCATTCGTATGTAACTAGTCTGTCCATATTGTCAATCCATGTGCTCAATGGGATCTTTTTGTGGCCCTTCCCATTCATCAAAACAAGTTTTTTTGCTTCTAATATGCATTGTAATGTCCTTGTAATCTCCCACGTTTCCGGTATATAATTTAGAATTAAATTCAAATCCCCTAAATAACAGTTTCTTTTTATTACTCTTGCTATATATATCCTCACTTCACACCAAAATGATCTTATCATCGGGCAGTTAATCATCATATGTACTAAGTTTGCATTTTTACTTCCACATCTCCAGCAGTTGTCTGCATTTGTTATTTTCTTCTCATAAAGTTTTGCTGGAGTCCAATGGACTCTGAATATTATTTTCTGCTGAATAAGTCTTAGTCTTAGATCCATAGAAGCTATTTCTGTTGATTTTATACTTGACTCCCATATATCATTTGTTATCTGTACCCTTAACTCTTCACTCCATTTTTGTCTATCATATTCTCAATCATACTTCTTTCTGTTGAGTAGGGTTTTATATAGTGCAAGTGTGTAGAGTTCTTTGTTTTTGTTGCAGAAATTAAATCTTGTAGCAGCATGGGTGTTTCCGATGCTGCTATAGCGTCAGGGCCAAACTGCCTTTCCAGCATATGTATCAATTGGATGTATTGCCATTGTGTTTCACTGCAAAGTCTTATGTTCCACAAATTTGTCAATTAATTGATTCAATGTCAAAATGCCTTTTTTCATCCAATTTTGCCAAATTATTACTTGAGTTCCATTTTTTAATTTTGGGTTGGCCCATATTGTTAATTTCTCATGCTGATAGGGGTTGTCCTTATTATTTTTATTTATATTCATCCAAATTTTTATAGGTGCTTTAATAGTCTCCAGGATAATAGGATGTTTCATAAAATTGGAGCTGAGTTTAGTCCACCCTACAAGAGGTTCAAAGAAACTATATTCAAGAGTAACCCAATTGGGATTCCTGCTAGCTCTCCAATCGTTAGTCTTACTCATCAGGTAGGCCTGGTGATATAGTTCCAGATTTGGGAGACCAAAGCCACCTTCCTTGTTTGGAAGTTGCATTTTATGTAGTGATATTTTTGGTGGCTTTGTACCCCATAGGCACGATCTAAATAGTTGATTTATTTTTTGGAAGTAAAATTTGGGACTATGTATTGGTAACCCTCTAAGAATGTATAAAAACTTTGGAACAACATTCATTTTGAGTTCCCCACCTTTCAATATCAAAAGAAATCTCATTTATAATTTGATTCAAATTTAATTTTACAATTTGATCTGTATCCGATTAAATCATTATACCCAAGAATTTAATAAAGTCTTTGCGCATCCAAAATTGATGGTAACAGGCCTGGTTCAGCAGGCTGATGTAAGTTCTGGCCAGTTGAAGCTTGTGGGAAATCTAACATTTGTCCAAATCTTGATTGCCTCAAAGTGGTGCTCACCCAGTGTACCTGCTGAGGATGAGTGGATTCACAATGTACTTGCTGAAGAAGCATGGTTTCACAATTTCTTTCTAAAATCACCAAGCTGCTCATTTGGCTGAGTAAGGGAAGCCAAAGGAGAGAAAAAAATGGGAAACTATGGAGCCCTTTAGTAATTGCTACCAGGGGTGGGGAACCTCTGGCCTGGGGGCCAAATGCAGCCACTGCATGCTTCTCCACAGGACCCAGGAGATGGGTATGTAGGTGGTACATCGTTCCTCTGCTTGGGGTCACAAGGGGGACCTCCAAAAATGTTTGCATATATTGTGTGTAGACTAGCGTTTCCATTTTGTGTAAGACTACATGCTACGACGCCTCTTCCTCCATCTGCTTCCTCTTCTGCTAACATTCCCCTGCCTACTTGTCCCAATGGATCCAGAGAGGTTCTGTGCCCGTTCTAAATGTTTCTTCTCTTTATTTTTTGAAGGTTGTATACACAGTCCAGTTTATGTCTTTCTCACAATAAGTGGGTGTCCCACCTGCCCCATACGCAGCAGAGAAATGGCTCTGGCATCAGCACCGTTTTCCAGCAAGCTCTTGCCAAAATCTCATAAGATCTAGCCAGATCCTGCTGCTGCTATGCCACTTTGTGCTGTTGCCACACAACCTAGGGAAGGGATGCTTTGGTGGGGGTTATGTAGCATGGCTGCTGTGGTGAAACGGGATGCACTACCCCTGACAACAAGGGAGCCCAAAGTGGACACAATAAAATTAGACATGGAAATTTGGCCAGGGATTTCAAACCTGAAATCTAGCTCCCATTCCCAAGCACTATTATTTCCCCCAACAAATGTTGCATTTGGATAAATGATACAACACACATTATTTGCCATATATATTTATTTTAGACATGATTCAATGACTTCATTTGCACATGAAAGTCAAATACAGCCTGTCTTTGAGGAGGAGCTTCTAGACTTCTGGAAAGAAAGCCTGGGAGTCCTCAGGCTGAGACCACCCCTGCTTCAACCATTAGGCCGTCAATTTCCATAAAAGGTGGGTTCTTCGGGGCGGTGGAGGTTTGCCTTCCCTCAGCTACAGCTCGTTGGCATCATTGTCCATTGCGTCAGTACACTCTAATTGAGTGATCTCATATCCCAATGATTTAAGATAAGTCATCAGTATCTCCTGACTGTAGTCACACATACTAGCTGTTGCACAGCCTCGGAGAGCACCAATCAGGCTGCTTCCCCCTGTTGGAAAAAAAAGCACACACATATTTTTGAAATCCAAAACCCTCCTCCTCAAACAGAACGGTGGGCAACGTTTTTCAGACCAAGAGCTGTTTTCCAGTCTGGGTGACCTTCTGGGAGGTCCACTGGCCAATGGAAACATATGTAAAATCCACCTTTACATGGCAGGCTATTTTATACATACATTCAACACCCCCCCGTCCTCCATCCAGGTAACCAAGACTTCAGGGGCAACAATCCAGCCAGGCCAAAGCATACAGGTAGGGTATGAAGTGGGGCTTGTGAGGGGTGTGGCCTAGGGTGAGGAGGTGTGGATAAGGAGGATCCAAAGGGCCAGGGAGAGTCCTAGAGGAATGCGTTTGGCCCCTGGGCCTGTGGGTCTCCATCCTGCCCCCTCCAATTTAAAGTGCAAATTTTAAGATGTATTTTTATTTAACAAAAACTATATACCGCTTGATTGCAGTAAAAACTGCTAGGGGTTTACAAGAAATATTTACATTACCAATAAAAGCAGTTAAAACCATTAAAACATTTAAAACTCAATCGAATGAACAGCAAAAGGGAATAGAGCATGTCCCTATCTGAATAGGCTTTTAAGGTGTTGCTGGGGAATAAAATGGAATAAACTGGCGCAGGGTTCCCGGCAAGAACTGCAGAAATTACTAGCCCTTCCCTGTATTCTCCTCCTCCTCCCACCTCCCTGCGCACACATCCCTCCTCCTTGGGCTCCTGCCCATCCCAGACACTCTGTGAGGGCAACATGGGTCTCCTAATAACTTTCAGCACCCTTAATAAACAAAGTATCCTAGCGTCTTTTAGGGGAAGTCATGACTGCTCAAAGTAGCATGATACTTCCTTAAAGATGGGGCCCTAGCTGCACTCCATTATACAAGACTCACCAAACTTCATGCGACCCCCAGCGTAGAAGCATTGATCCTCCTCATTTCTGCAGCTGACGGTCTTATTGCCCTCACAATTGTCTGAAAAGATGGAGAAGCAACTCGGGCACTTCAGCCCATTGGGCTCCCTCGTGTCACTCTCAGGCACTGGAAAACAATCACCACACCACACCAACATTGCAATTAGTCAATGTATTTCTTTTGCAGATGCAAACCACAACTTGCTGTATGTGAGGGGTGGGAATTGTGCTTCCCCTTCCAAGATGGATCCGTACCACCTTCCAACACTTCTCCAAGCGGAGTGCTTCAGCCATGCTCCATTCATCCAGGGCTACTTTAAGGCATGGTGCAAGAGATTTCTGACTGGGGCCACATTCACAGCATACATTTCAAGCAAAGGGATACCACTTAAAGCAATTGGGCTTAGCACTGAGCACCACTGGGGGGCATTCTGAGAGACAAAATGGCAGCCACAGATGCACACAAATGATAAGATTCTACAAAATGGCCCTCTTCCTGAGAGCGGGAAAGAGAAAGAAAACTCTTAGTAATTTTATACTTAAAAAATCACTTCTGGAAAACATGTGCTTAGTTTTGGTAAAATAATGATTTCACCTAAGAAAAAATGGGAGCTAATAAGAACTATTGTGTGGGGTTTGTTTGTTTGTTAATCCATAGCTCTGTGAGGGGAATCGGTGTTTCCCAATTAACTCTCAGCACCCTTAAGAAATTACCACTCCCAGAATTCTTTGTCCTAGTGTTGTCATAGTGTTTACAATAAAAACATACACCAGGGTGTTGAGAATACTAAGGCAAACCACAAAATGGTGCCTCCTCCCAACAAGAAGGGAGGGGTGAGTGAAGATCTACATCAGGAACAAGGGAATGTGAACATCTACATCAGGAACAAGGGTGGGAGTAGACCAGAGTTCCAATCTGTACTTGAGCCACGAAACTTGCTGGGTGACCTGGGGCCAGACACTGCCCCTTAGCCTGACTTATTTCACATGGGTGTTTGAGGCTAAAATGGTGAGCAGGAGAGCCAGAAATGCCACCTCAAGCTCTTTGGACAAAAGAGTAGGGATGTAAATATCAGAAGCTGCTGCAGAAGAGGGACTGTGAGTAACATCGCACAGGAATGTTTCTAGGACTAAGGTAAAACTGTGAAGCTCCCTTGTAATTTTTGCTCATGAATGCTGCATGTTGTTCAAGTAATCTTGTTATTGATACATGGTTTTTGGTTTTGTTCTATGTTCAGTTTTTCTTTTACTATGCTATGTTATTAAATAATGCAGATATCCTCTTAGAAAGTCCTGTTCTGTTGGTGAAGGCAGAAGCCCACGTTGCAGATGTTTGTAGAAGGCCTGGCCAATCCAGAGGTATCATACTGCCTTCTCACTTGCTGGATCATCACCTTGTTGTGGTGAGTGGGCTTCCACATTCCTATGACCCATGTGAGCAAAGCCATCAGGAATCCTGTACTCCTAACAGGGTCACCCAAGGCGGTAAGGTCAAAGGGAAGGAGCTAGACAAAGAATGATCCAAAAAGTCCTCAACGGCAGAGGGCAACAGGTGGATGATAACAAGCGGTATGTTACAACGGCTGTGAAGGCAGATAAGGGCTGCAGCAGATAGGAATCTACCGGTTCATTGTGACTACTCATGCCATCGGAACAGAGCCCTACTGTGAATAATAATAATAATGATGATTTATTATTTGTACCCCGCCCATCTGGCTGGGTTTCCCCAGCCACTCTGGGCGACTTCCACAGAGACCAAAAATACACTAAAATGACACACATTAAAAACTTCCCTGAACAGGGCTGCCTTAAGATGTCTTCTGAATGTCAGGTAGTTGTTTATCCCTTTGATATCTTATGGGAGGGCGTTCCACAGGGTGGGCGCCACTACCGAGAAGGCCCTCTGCCTGGTTCCCTGTAGCTTTGCTTCTCGCAATGAGGGATCCGCCAGAAGGCCCTCGGCGCTGGACCTCAGCGTCCGGGCAGAACGATGGGGGTGGAGACACTCCTTCAGGTATACTGGGCCGAGGCTGTTTAGGGCTTTAAAGGTCAACACCAACACTTTGAATTGTGCTCGGAAACATACTGGGAACCAATGTAGGTCTTTCAAGACTGGTGTTATGTGGTCTCGGCGGCCACTCCAAGTCACCAGTCTAGCTGCCACATTCTGGATTAATTGCAGTTTCCGGATCACCTTCAAAGGTAGCCCCACATAGAGCGCATTGCAGTAGTTCAATGCTGTAGTCCAAGCGGGAGATAACTAGAGCATGCTCCACTCTGGCGAGACAGTCCGCGGGCAGGTAGGGTCTCAGCCTGCGTACCAGGTGGAGTTGGTAGACAGCTGCCCTGGATACAGAATTGACCTGCGCATCCATGGACAGCTGTGAGTCCAAAATGACTCCCAGGCTGCACACCTGGTCTTTCAGGGGCACAGTTACTCCATTCAGGACCAGGAGTCCTCCATACCTGCCCGCCCCCTGTCCCCCAAGAACAGTACTTCTGTCTTGTCAGGATTCAACCTCAATCCATTAGCCGCCATCCATTCTCCAACCACCTCCAGGCACTCACACAAGACCTTCACCGCCTTCACTGGTTCTGATTTGAAAGAGAGGTAGAGCTGGGTATCATCTGCATATTGATGCAGATGCAAAGATTGTGCCTTGGTCAGCATGCACTGATCTACACACACAAAACAAATTCATGTACTGGTGTCTTCCAAAAACCCATCCCAAACTCAAACCCCAAAAGTCCCCTGGCGATCGGCAAATGGTAACGGGGGCAGGAGCATGAAATCTGGAAGCCCCTAGTCATGAACCAGCACATGGGCGGTAGATACATATTCAGCCACTCTGACCCAAGGAATGAGGCAGTTGAGCAGCTCGGCAGCTGTATCCATGACTGAGCAGCCCTTTTTAGGATCCACTCTGATCACCCTGGAAAGGGGGAGGGACTAGAAAAGGTGCCCTAAACATAGTCTGCCTCCCTTTCCCCCTGACTGGACGACCGCGCCCAGTGGGGTCACCACCTAGCGGTTGTAAAACACAATTGAATTTTGGAACATGGAATATACAGACTTTGGCAGATAACACAGATAGCGAGCGCTCTGAATACAGAACTGCCATCATTGCAAGAGAGCTGCAATGTTTCAACATCAATATTGCAGCGCTTCAAGAGCCTCAAAGAGCAGGCGAGGGACAACTGAAGGAAGAAAAAGGAGACTACACTTTCTTCTGGAAAGGTCTATCTGAAGAAGAACTTCGGATACATGGAGTAGGCTTCGCTATCAAAAATGATCTTCTGAAGCTCCTGTCAGAAGTCCCTACCGGCATTAATGAGTGACTCTCAACCCTTCGAATAAAGCACACCAAAAACCAACAGGCTACTCTTACAAGTGCTTATGCACCAACACTGGATGCCGATGAAGACATTAAAGGAAATTTTTACTCTCAGCTGGATACCGCTCTATCAGAGATGCCTAAGGAAGATAAACTCATCCTCCTGGATGATTTTAATGCAGGAGTTGGGCGAGATTTCAACCGGTGGCCTGGGACTATTGGGAAAGAAGGAATTGGCAACAGCAACCAGAACTGTATCTTACTTTTGACGATATGTGCAGCGCACAACCTTGTTACTACCAACACACTCTTTTGACAGAAAAATAAATTTAAAACTCCCTGGAGGCATCCTCGGTCAAACCACTGGCACCTCTTAGACCAGGGGTCAGCAACCTTTTTTCAGCCATGGGCTGGTCCACCATCCCTCAGACCATGTGGTTGAAAAAAAATATGACCGAATTCCTATGCCCCACAAATAATCCAGAGATGCATTTTAAATAAAGGCATACATTCTGCTCATGTCAAAACACCAGGCAGGCCACACAAATAACCCAGAGATGCATTTTAAATAAAAGGACACATTCTACTCATGTAAAAACACGCTGATTCCTGGACCATCCATGGGCCGGATTGAGAAGGTGACTGGGCCACATCCGGCCCATGGTCCTTAGGTTGCCTGCCGCTGTCTTAGACTATGTTATTGTCTGTGCTAAAGATCGCCGTGAACTGCTCCTTACCAGAGCTATGACGAGTGCTGACGACTGCTGGACAGATCACTGACTAATATGCTCCACAATGGCTATCAATATTATACCTTAACGTAGGCTTTAAGGGAGGAAAACAAGGCGCAAAATGAACACCCAAGCCCTTCAAGATCCCATTAAGTGGGATTGCTTCCAAATCACTCTTAAGGGCCATCTGCTTTCAGAATTCCCTGATAATATCTAGGAACACTGGACCAAGCTAAAAACATCCATTATTGCAGCCTGTGAACAAAGCCACAAAGACCATCTATGGGCGAATAAATCATGGCATATTCCCCCTACACTCAGCAGACGGTATCACACTTCTAAAAGATAAAGAAGCTATTACACAGCTTTAAAGAACATTACCGACATCTCCTTAACTGCAACTCCCCCGTAGCTGCTGAGGTCCTCTCACAAATTCTGCAAAAACAAGTTAGAGATGAGCTTGCAGTATCTCCAAATCTGGGAGAGTTGTGTACAGCTATTAACCATATGAAAAACAAAAAAACCAGCAGACCTGAGGGGATACCTGCCAAAGTCTTCAAAGTGGGTGAAATTGAACTTACACAACAACTTCACAAGCTCATCAAAAAAATCTGGGAGAGATTGGTTTTCATCATTTAAAATTGTTGAACCCCCCTTCGGTAGCAGGAGAAGAAGGGGGACCTTTTTTGGACTGTTTAAACCTGCAGAAGTGAGTTTAAAGCAAAGTAACTTTCCACCGTCCTGATCCTGGAGCGGGGTGTCAGAGTTGACGTTTGAAGCTCATTGACCAGAGACAAATGTCTTTGACAGATAGCTAAAAGAAGAGTAACATTGTGATCCCATTGTTTCCTTTCGTATTTTAAAGGAACAAATATTGACAAAGTATTTTAAAAAAAGAAACTTTGTTGCTATTGTTCTTAAAAGAAAGAACAACCAGAAGTTTTCCTCCTAGAGGGGGACTGTGAAACTGTAACTAATTCCAGGGAGCTTGCAGCTGCCACAGATTACAACCGTGGGAAAGGACTTGTGACCTTGCAGGACAATGTTTTCAGAAGCACTGTTGTGTGCTCTCTGTAAAGTAAATGCCCTATTGGATCAGTTAAGTCAGAAGACTGATTTGATGACTAATGCGGTCAGAACTTTTGAACAGGTAGTGGGAAACTATGTGGAGCCCACCCAGGAACTAAAACAGGAGTGTGCCATGACAGAACAGTTAAGAGAAGAGGATGTTGCTGAATCTCGAGCGCCAGAGATGGAGGGAGCTGCGGCCCAGCAGGAACATGAACTCTTGGATTTGACAAATGAACTTGGAAAAAGCCAGATTTGGAAAGATAAAGTTTGGTTTGGCTTGGAAATGGGGGGTTGGATAGACCCCCCTAAAATGGACTTTTCGAGTCTGGCAATGGGCTGTCAGATGTTTGGAGCTGTGGGGGCTCTCAATTTTGGAGGGAATCTGAAACATGTCTTTAAATACTACATGGAGTTTAGTCTGGACTATGGAAAAGGGGCCGACTTGTTGAAAAGGGTCCAAAACATTAACAAGCTGGAGTTCCCACGAGTGAAAGGAAAATATGAAGAAGAGCTGCGGAAGGGACATGGAAGTGACTTGAGGGCCTCGGATATAAGATTACCAGGTTAATGTGCTAGATCAATGGGATAAAAAGGACTGACAAACCCGGGACCAGGAGGAAGGGACGCTGGATGAAGACTGGATTGTTTTTATTTCTCTTTTTACCATTAGGATTGTTTTATAAAATTGATGAATATTAGAAAAATGTTGAAATGAAATTACTTGGCTCTTGCAAAAATGTTTAAAGAATGAGGTAAAAATGTTATGATTACAAGAAGTTGGTAAAAATAAGATTTAAGTTTTAAGCTTTAAGGTTTTCTATAAGATAAGATGAAAATAGATTAAGGTAATGTAAAACGTTATGGTTATGAGAAGTTGGTAAAAATAAGATTTAAAATTTTAAGCTTTAAGGGTTTCTATAAGATAAGATGAAAATAGATTAAGGTAATGTAATGACAGAATACTATGAATTATGGAAAGGATTTGCTGCGATGATTATTAATCAGGATACAAGAAAAGGGAGGAGGAGGAGGTCAAAGAAAGAAGGTAATGAAAGTGGAGAATTTGAGAATGATGGTTTTCTTTTTTCTTTTTTCTGTATTGTCTTTTTTTATTGTAATTTTTAAAATTTTTTCCCCAATAAATATTATTTTAAAAAAATAAATCTGGGAGAGAGAAGAGATCCCAGCAGACTTTAGGGATGCCAAAATTATCTTTTTTTTTTTTTAAAAAAAAAAGGTGACAGAACTGATTGCAGAAACTATCGAGGCATCTATTAGCTGCAGGTGGCAAAATTCTTGCAAGGATCTTAGCAAACCATCTCTTAACAATATCCGAGGTGACCGTTCCTGAATCCCAAAATGGTTTTCGGCCTTCTAGGGGGACAGTGGACATGATTTTCACCACTCAACAGCTTCAAGAAAAATGCAGAGATCAAAACCAACCCCCGTATGTGTCGTTTTTTGACCTAAGGCTTTCGACACTGTAAATCATAATGCCCTGTGGACTGTCCTTCTGAGACTTGGCTGCTCAGATAAATTTGTAAACATCATCCGACTCCTCCATGATAATATGACAGCAACAATCGCAGATAGCAATGGCTCTCAAAGTGAACCATTCACAGTGGGATCAGGTGTTAAACAGGGTTGTGTTATTGCCCCAACTCTATTCATTGTTTTCATTGCCATGATCCTACAAATGATCTGACAATTATCATTGTCGAAGGGAAACTCCCCACCGGAGTAGAAATCATATATTTAACAGATGGAAAGTTCTTCAATCTGAGCAGGCTGAAAGCAAAGAGTAAGGTTACAGTAACTTCCATCATAGAGCTTCAGTATGCTAATGACAATGTAGTGTGTGCACGCTCACAGGATGACCTCCAAACCATCCTAAATATCTTCCCAGAAGCTTACGAAAAGTTTGGCCTGTCGCTCAACATCCCAAAAAACAAAGTACTGCACCAACAAGTACAAAATGCAGCTCCACAAATCCAACTCAATGGTGTAATGTTGGAAAATGTCAATCACTTCTCCTACCTAGACAGTTTCCATAAGGGCTAGTACTTATGTTGAAATCCAGCATCCCTGAGCTCTGCGAGTGCAGCTTTCTGTTGATTGAAGTGCAGAGTGTTTAAGGACCGGGACATTCACAGGGAAACCATAATGCTTGTTTACAAAGCTATTGTACTACCAACCTTACTGTATGCTTGTGAAACATGCACCACTTATAAACACCATCTCCAACTCCTCGAAAGATTTCATCAACGGTGTCTCTGAAAATTTTTCCACATCACTTGGGAAGACAGGCGAACTAATATCAGTGTACTGGAAGAAGCAAATACCACCAGTATTGAAGCAATGATTCTTCAACATCATCTTCGTTGAACTGGTCATGTTGTGCAGATGCCTGATGATCGTCTCCCAAAGTAACTACCCTATTCTGAACTTAAAAATGGAAAGCGAAATGCTGGTGGTCAACAAAAGAGGTTTAAAGACTTTCTGACGGCAAATCTTTAAAAATGAAGTATAAACACCGACAACTGGGAAACACTGGCCTGCGAGCGCTTCAATTGGAGAACAGCCTTTACCAAAGGTGTCATGGGCTTTGAAGACACTCGAACTCAGGATGTAAGGGAGAAATGTGCTAAGAGGAAGGCATGCTTGGATATCCACACCGTGATCAACTCCCGCCCAGAAACCAATGTCCCCATTGTGGAAGGACATGTGGTTCCAGAATTGGCCTCCACAGTCATTTACGGGCTCATTGTTAAAACCGTGTTTATGAAAGACAATCTTACTTGGCTACGAGTGATCGCCTTACCAGTCTGTCCCACTAAAATATCTCTACAAATGCAAATGCATCAAAGAAAATGGGTCACTCTAGGTTTGGGGGCTAGAACTCTGGGAAACCAATGAACCAGTGATGTGAAGTGGTGAGAGAGTTGGACTAGAATCTAGGAGACCAGGGTTCAAATTCCACTGTAGCCATGACACTTGCTGAGTGACTTGGGACCAGGAACCATCTCTCAGCCTAACCTATTTCACAGGATGTTTTGAGGCTAAAATGGTGAGCGGGAGCTCAAGCTTTTTGCAGGAAAGCATAGGATGTAAATACCAGAAGCTGCTGCAGGAGAGGAACTGTGAGTAGCATTATGGGAGGGGTGTTTCTAGGACTAAGGTAAAACTGTGACGCTCCCTTGTAATTTTTGCTAATAGATGATGCATGTTGTTCAGGTAATCTTCTTATTGATATTTTGGGTTTTGTTCTATTAGTTCCCACCACCCCCATACTATGGCTCCAATGCTTCCCTGCTGGTTCCCTCTGTCAGTGGCTCCTCCCTGTCCCACCAGTCTGAATCAGGTTTGAAATGTTCTTTCCTAGTGTCACCCTCAGGCACCTCCTGGAGCGACTGGCTGCCACCACTCCTCCTTGTCTAGCCAGTCCCTGACATCAGGATACTGCCAAAAACTTGTTTGTCTTTCTTTGACCTCTCTCATTGCTTGAGTTTTGTGAGATCATCTTTCCTGATGATGATACTTACTTTCGGGAGGTCCGCTGTTGCACATATCTGTTTTGCAGCAGGAGGCCTTGCTCTGGATGTACAGTGATGAGGTTATGGAGGCACTGCCATAGCCTACATCGCACAACTCTGTATCGATGCAGGACTTGAGAACCATTGTTGACCCCAAAAGTGCTATAAAAGAATTGGAAAAGGAAATAACTAGACCTGGAGATAGGGCTGGCCCACCTATGATGAAAGGGTTGATGATCACCTTATGTTTGCTGATCCACGGGGGCAGGAGATCTGACCATCAAGAAAAGCATCGCCTGCTGCTGCCTTTGAAGCTGTGGTATGATCCTTGGAGGCAAGATCTGTCACCTCCTCGTCAGTTCCTCTCCCCCATTTGAGCCACCCCATGTCCCTGTTGTTCGTGGTAGGGACCTTGGAGCTCCTTCCCTTTTCTTTTTAATATAATGTTTATTAAAATTTCTTTTTTCCATTATAACAACCAAATAAAATTTCCTCATCACATATATCTTTGCTCAAATTGAGCTTTGACTTCCTCCTGTCCCCCTCCCTGACTTCCATATGCAATCACTTTTATCTTCACATCTCTAAATCACCCTACTTACCTTATCTCCATACTTAAAAGACGTACTTCTAATATTTATAAACAGGTATCAAATCATAACCTGTCCTTTTCAAAACAGTTCGTTGAGCTGGTTTCGGATTCCCCCCGTCAGTCTCGCCAGCTTGGCGTATTCAGTCATCTTTGTCTGGCATTCTTCCAACGTTGGAAGTTCCTGCTGCTTCCATTTCTGGGCTAAAAGTATCCTTTCTGCCATGGTAGCATGCATAAATATATTTATGTCTTTTTGGGGAAATTTCTTCACCTATGATCGCTAATAAAAAAGCATCTGGTTTTTTTACTAAAAGTACAGTGGTGCCCCGCAAGACGAATGCCTCGCAAGACGGAAAACCCGCTAGACGAAAGGGTTTTCCGTTTTTGAGTTGCTTCGCAGGACGAATTTCCCTATGGGCTTGCTTAGCAAGACGAAAATGTCTTGCGAGTCTTGCGATTTTTTTTCGCTCCCCCCCTTTATCTAAGCCGCTAAGCCTTTAATAGCCTTTTAGCAGCTAATCCGCTAAGCCGATAAGCCTTTAATAGCCGCTAAACCGCTAATAGCGCTAATCCGTTAAGCCGCTAATAGGGTTGCTTCGCAAGACGAAAAAACCGCTAGACGAAAACACTCGCGGAACGGATTAATTTCGTCTTGCGAGGCACCACTGTATTTTATATAACATATCCCAGTAGACTTTAATCTTAGGACACATCCACCACATTTGAAAGAAATTCCCTTCCTTCTCCTTACAGTTCCAAAATACCTTATCTTAAGTTCTATACATTTTAGCAAATATCACCTCGGAGCTCCTTTCTGAGGCTCCCTCCGCCTCGCTGGTGCCCGTGCAGGCACACTGCCTCTTTCCTTGTGGGGTGGTCATTCGCAAAGCGCAGGCTGCAAAGCCACCCTACCTGTGCCTTGCAGGGCTGCATGCACTGCCTGGCTGCCTTTGACTGGCAGAGTGGGCTCCGTCTTTCCTCCTGTGCTGAAAAAGGAAGCCAGGTGGCAGCCAAGGTTGTCTCCGCCCGGAGCCTGCACTCCATTGTTGATTCACACAAGGTGGGGGCTCCTTCAAACTTCTCCATTGAGAGGTGGGCAGCCGTGACCCCTCAACAGGAAAGGGTGACATGGCTTGCAGTTCCCCTGCTTAGCAGCTGAGATTCCGCTTCTACTTGTGTGCAAGCAGGAGCGGGGGGGGGGCTCTTGCAGCTAGGGAGGGGGAGCACTTTAACAGAGCCCCCGCCCCAATACTTGCTCATGTGAGCCAGCGGCAGGTTGGGGTTTGGGCTTGGCTGAGGCGAGGGCAGCGGTGTGCTCTTAACCCAAGCAGTTAACAAACATTGATACATATGCTATAATGTTATTGTTTTAGTCAAATAAATTATTTAAATTATTATTAATGAAATGATTATTTTTTCTCCTTCCAATAAAATACAGCAGAAAAGAAGTCCAAATATAAACAGCTAATTTATTAAACCTCACAAAAATTTCATAATTATTTGTCAATGTTTTTCTAATAGTATAACCAAATCAGTAATTTTTGATATAACTTTAAAAACTACTCTGAAAATTTATTATTCCAAAAACAAAACCTTCATCTAGTTGTAAATATTAAGATTACACCAGCAAGAATGAATCTTTATGTAAAAAAATGTTTTAAATCAAGTTTTACTGACTAGTGATTTAAATTGTGATTTAAATCAAATCCACCCTGTAACTGGACCAATGAGAGTTGATGGTGGAGCTCATAAAGGGAGCATGTGCCACAGACAATTAGGAAGGGGCAATATGTCAGTATCAGTTTCTCTTGGTTTCTTATTTGAAGTTCATTTCTCCACATTTTCATATCAGTTTCCAACTCCCCCCCACCCCCCATCAACATTTAGTCTGAATGTTATTTTTACTCTTAGGCCCTATGTGCAGGGTCATACTGATTTAAGCAGTCATGGTTTCCCCCGTGGGGGTGGGGGGATGTTTGTTGACCATATTGGCTGTGAATCCTGGCGGACTAGCTCTCTTCCTTGCAGGTCATTTTTCACTTGGCCTGGGAGATAGGAACCACACAGACTGACTCCAACTACAAAAGCTGAGGCTGCTGAACCAACACTTGGGTTGGGGTATTGTTTGGCTTGTTTTGTTGCTGTTACTGATATCCATCTTTTCTATCTTTATTTTTAGCTCTTCTTATGAATTAGGTGACTTTCGCTTCATTTTGTTGTAGGTTCTTATATGCACACTTTACCCTAGTACGTGCATTTGTATATTGATTACATGGCTGGACAACTGAATTGCAAAAATGGGAGAAGGGCAGATTCTGAAGGATGTTTTGTTTTGTTCTGCCAATTGAGTAAACACACCTTTAAATATGAACTGACTTGAATTTCTTCCCTGCTCCTACAGGCAATGCAGAACCTAGAACACTTCTTTATGAAAAGTCATGTTCCGTGGCTTGTGGCTAAGATATGGCCTTAGAAAGTGAGTCTGGGGGTTTACGTTTTGGTGATCAAAGAGGTTGAAAGTTCTTCTCACTTACACAGTTTGCCAACTCCAAGGGAAGACATGCAGGATTGGTCCCGGGAATCATCACACTCCTCAGTGGTGGCATTTCTGCAATCTTTTCCTTGACCGAAACAAGACTCACATGTCAGAGTTACCACTGCAGACAGGGGGAAAATGGGTTTAGAAAACTTTAGTAACTGTGTAGGAAGAATAGGTCTGCGTCAAGGTACATGAACACAACACTTTCTGCTACAAACTCTGCTACAAACTGTTTTTGTTTCAAACTTTGCAGATCGTGGACAAAATGGACTGTTTCAAGAGGTGGCAGAAAGACATTTCTAAATTTGTCTGGCAGGGCAAGAAACCTAGAATTAAATTTAAAATTTTAACAGATGCAAAAGAAAGAGGTGGATTTGCCCTGCCAGACCTTAAACTTTATTATGAATCAGCAGCTGTTTGCTGGTTGAAAGAATGGCTACTTCTTGAAAACACTGACATTTTGGATTTGGAAGGTTTTAATAATGTATTTGGATGGCATGCATATTTATGGTATGATAAGGTCAAAGCTCACAAAGCATTTAAAAACCACATTGTCAGGAAAGCGCTATTTAATGTTTGGATAAGATATAAGGATTTGCTAGAAAATAAAACCCCAAGGTGGCTGTCACCAATGGAAGCGAAAGCCTTGAAAAGGGTCAATATGGAGGTCAAATGGCCGAAATATTGGGAAATTTTGGAACAAGACGGAGATAGACTGAAATTGCAGAGTTTTGAAAAATTAAAAAACAAAGTGCGAGACTGGCTTCATTATTATCAAATAATGGAGGCATTTAAATTAGACAGGAAAATTGGCTTCCAGGTGGAAAAATCGAAATTAGAAACAGAATTGTTAGAACCCAATACTAAGAATCTGTCAAGAATGTATAACTTGCTGCTGAAATGGAATACTCAAGATGAAACGGTAAAATCGGCTATGATTAAATGGGCACAGGACGTAGGACATAACATTATGTTTGCTGACTGGGAACAGTTATGGACCACTGGTATGAAATTTACGGCATGTAATGCCTTAAGAGAGAATATTATGAAAATGATATACAGGTGGTACATAACCCCAGTCAAGCTTGCGAAAATTTATCACTTGCCCGATAACAAATGTTGGAAATGTAAAGAAACTGAAGGTACATTTTTCACCTTTGGTGGACGTGCCCAAAGATTAAGGTTTTCTGGGAAATGATATATAATGAATTAAAAAAGGTATTTAAGTATACCTTTCCCAAGAAACCAGAGGCCTTTCTCCTGGGCATAGTGGGCCAAATGGTGTTAAAAAGGATAGAACTTTCTTTATGTATGCAACAACAGCAGCAAGAATACTCATCGCAAAGTATTGGAAGACACAAGAACTTCCCACGCTGGAGGAATGGCAGATGAAACTTATGGACTATATGGAATTGGCGGAAATGACTGGCAGAATCCGTGACCAGGGAGAAGAGTCGATGGAGGAAGATTGGAAGAAATTCAAAGACTATCTTCAGAAATACTGCAAAATTAAGGAATGTTAGAGTGATGTTGGATTGAAAATAAGTGGTTTCCAGCTGTACAGGTTAAAGCTAGGATAGATTAAGATTAAAGATTAAGATTGGGAAAAATTTAAAGGTATATGACATTAAGAACAAGGATTATGTTTATGTTATATAGTTTAATATTTTATTAAATTAAAGATTGGGTTTAAAAAGTGGAAAAGAAATTGCTGGACAAATAATGTAGATTGGAATACAAAAGAGGGAGGTATGAGGAAGTCCAGAAAATAAGTAATTCAAAATTGGGAATGTAAAAGAGAGTTTGTTTTAAATTGTTATGTTGTGTGTTTTTATTGTTAAATTTTGTATTGTTTTTTTTGTGTGTGTTGTTTTTTCTTTTCCCTTTGTTTAAAACTTTAATAAAAATTATTTAAAAAAAAAACAAACTCCATCTTACGAGAGGTAGCAAAGGCCACCAAATTTGATAGCTTCAAAAGCGGACTGGATAAATTCATGTTTACCATTCGCAATTGATATATTTTTTCTGCAACATTGGAGGCACTATTTGACTACTAGTTTCTGCAAACTAGTATATATTCCTTCTGTAGTTCTTAAACTCTGTGAATGGGGGTGGGCCTTGCATAGACCAGAGAATGATTGTTGAAAATGACTCCTGCAGTCTGAGGGAGAGGACCAGTAGAGAAGGACCCTCCCGAAGATGTTGTACTACAACTCCCATCAGCACCAGCAAACATGACAGACTCTGGTAAGCACATCTGGTACCCCTGGAACCTGACTCCACTGAGAGATTGGGGGTGTGTGTAACACCAGCAAACTAAAAGATTTCATGGGGGGGGGCAGGATAATTCCGCTCCGAAATAGGAGAAGAATTGTGCCTATACATTGTCTCCTATCCTATCATAAGTTTCTACAAATGTAAGCAACTTACTCTTTGCTTTAAATCAGGCATGGCCAAAGTCCATTTCAGGGGCCCACTGGTCGGTTTAATCCGGCCCCTGTGGCAGTTTATTTTCCTGGGGTAAAATCCTGAAAAAACCTCAACAACTTCAGTCCTAAAAATGCTCAAAAACTTTGGTCGGCCCTTTGGTCGGCCCCCACAGCTTTTCTCTTCATCAAATCTGGCCCTCATGTAAAAAAGTTTGGACACCACTGCTTTAAATTTAAGCTAGGACTCTGGTTTATTGAAGAGTGAACTACTGCCTCTTTTGCTCCCCCAATGTACTTGGGGATGCCACACCTCTGTATGCATTTGGTAAAATAAAGATTTAATATTGAGAACAAAGTTTCAGGAAGAAGGGGCAGAATTTGAGTGGACAATGAGGCAAGGAAACAGCAAAAAAGTTCAAGAAACATACTCTTTGTTGTAGATGAAACCTAGGATTCTGGTTTATCCAAGAGTGGACAACTGGCCCCATTGCTCCTCCAATGGACTTGGGGATACTGCACCTCTCAGTATGGATTTGGTTAAATAAAAACAAATATAAACATTGGGAAGAAACTATCTATGATTGAGGATCCCTTGTAGCTTGACCATATGCTTTATTCCTCTCCTTTCAAAGGAACCACAAGTCCTTGTTCCTTTCTTCTCCTGCTTTAATGGCTGACCCCCCACTTAGTTCCTTCCTGGAAACAGAATGATCAGCACAGCAGTTGTGGTTCTGCTCACCTGGATTCAGAAAGGTCAAGAGGAGGCAGGAGATCAGGAGTGTCTTCATCTTTCTAGAGAGCTGAAGAGCCAGGAAGGCGTTTGAGAGCAGCACTGGGCTGAGCAAGGAACTGATGCATGAAGAGGCTTAGTTGGAGGAATTTATAGGAGATTACAAGATGCACTTTGGCAGTACCCAGGAACAATGGGTTCAGGACAGTGTCCCAAATTTTTAGAAGTCTAATCATGCTATACTTATTTAAAGCACAGTGTTGAAAACCAATTAAAGCTCTTCCCCCCTTCCAATAACTCCATGGACACGTACCTCCTAATCTGTGCCAGCGTCAATTTCACCATCCTGGATGTGGGGAAATGAGTCCCATCAGGTTACAGCACTGAAATTGGATTAGATTTCTGGAAGCCAAAGCAGTTTCTCTGACAGCATGAACTTTTTTGAAAGGGGGACAAATGTCTGTCCACAGTTTCCCTTGTGGTACAGTAATAAAATGCACACTGACCCGGATCCCCTCACTCCCATTAAATGCAGTTGCATTTGGGGTAAATCAAGCTCTTCCCCATTCCAAGAGCTCCAAGGACATGTCCCTCCTTTAACCTGTGGCACCCTCAGTTTCACCACCCAGGAAGTGAAGCCCCATCAGGTGACACCAGAATTCAAAGCTCAGCAGTGAAATTGGATTAGATTTCCAGAAGTCCAGGCAATTTTGCCAGATTTCTCTGATAGTCAGAATCACAAACTTATTTATTTTTGGTAAGGGGAGACGAGTGTCTGTCCCGTTTCCTTTGTTGTACAGTAATAAAATGCACAGTGACTCATGATCTAGATTTCCTCTGTCCCATTAAATGCACTTGTTTGGGGTACAGAATTGGTCCACTTGCTCTTTATAAATAAGTTGCTTACAGTTAAGAGAGTCCCATGGACTGCAAAAAGATCAAACCTATCCATTCTGAAGAAATCAGCCCTGAGTGCTCACTGGAAGGACAGATCATGAAGCTGAGGCTCCAATACTTTAGCCACCTCATGAGAAGAGAAGGCTCCCTGGAAAAGGCTCTGATGCTGGGAAAGATTGAGGGCAGAAGGAGAAGGGGACGACAGAGGACGAGATGGTTGGATAGTGTTCTCGAAGCTACCAGCATGAGTTTGACCAAACTGCAGGAGGCAGTGGAAGACAGGAGTGCCTGGGGTGCTCTGGTCCAGGGGGTCACGAAGAGTCAGACACGACTAAACAACAACAGAGTTAAGAGCAGGTGGGGGGGATTGCAGGTCTGTGTCCAGAGGAGCTTGCAGATTTTAGGGACTATCTTTTACTGGGACTGGATATACACAAGCAGAGCTCCATGTCCTTTGCTTTTGTTTCACTTGTGATGCTGGTGAAAGTCAAAGACAGTGTGAATGATGTGGATTTGGCATTTGGACAATGAGAGAGGGAGAGTGGCAGCATCACAGATGTATATATTTGTGTAATATAAAATGTTGCTATATAATTTACTGTCAGCTTAGATTCTTCACATTGTTTCTTCTAAGAAGAATGGGACTCCTAGATGTTGGTAATCACAATGGAGGGGGTGGGGAGAGTGACATTGGGCTCATGTCCTCTTCCTTCACCATCTTCTTCTTCATATTATAAGTTAATTATTATAAGATGATGTACCAATGTTATTTAACTCTAAAGAGCTTAGATCGAATATATAAGAATGTACCAAAAAAATGTTGGAAATGTAAGAATTGCAAGGGGTCATTCTGTCACATGTGGTAGACCTGTAGGAAGGCTAAGGTCTCTTGGGGCATGATATATAATGGGGGGGGGGGAATCAAACTGACTTTTCCACGAGTCCAGAACCCTTCTGCCAGGGGATATTGGTCAGCAAAATTCCAAAGTCTGTTTATGTATGCAGCTGTATTCATGTATGCAGGTACAGTGGCAAAGGATCTTTATGCTCAGAGGTGGAAAGTTGTGAGAATAACCTGAAAAGAAGAATGAATGGTGAAAGCCTTAGAACTGGATTTTAATATTCTGCTGGAAGCCACCCAGAGTGGCTGGGGAAACCCAGCCAGATGGGCGGAGTATAAATAATATAATTATTATTAAATTATTATTATTATAATTTGCAGAGATGGCAAAGGTAAAGGAGGAGAGGCTGCTACAGCTGAGGCCCTTCCCACATAATGCCACTTTCAAAAAAATTCTGGCCATGTGTCCCTCTGTTGCTGAGATAGTGGCACTGGTTGCCAATTTTCTTCCAGGTCACATTCAAGGTGCTTATGTTTATTTCCACAGATACCTGAGCAATGTGAGCCCAAAGTGCCTTGAGGAGTATGCAATCCCTTAAGCTACACCTCAAGCAGTGAGATCCTTTGATTGGGGCAATTCTTGTAGCTCCCTACACATCTGAGGTTTAGTCAGCCTTCAATTCATAGGAAGCCTTTAGTGCAACAGGACAGAGAAAAGCTTTTATTCCTTTTTCATAACACTAGAATTTGTGGGCAGCCAATGGCAGTGAATGTTGGAAGATCTGAGAAAGAGCAGCACTGGGCTGAGCAAGGAACTGATGCATGAAGAGGCTTAGTTGGAGGAATTTATAGGAGATTACAAGATGCACTTTGACAGTACCCAGGAACAATGGGTTCAGGACAGTGTCCCAAATTTTTAGAAGTCTAATCATGCTATACTTATTTAAAGCACAGTGTTGAAAACCAATTAAAGCTCTTCCCCCTTCCAATAACTCCATGGACACGTACCTCCTAATCTGTGCCAGCGTCAATTTCACCATCCTGGATGTGGGGAAATGAGTCCCATCAGGTTACAGCACTGAAATTGGATTAGATTTCTGGAAGCCAAGGCAGTTTCTCTGACAGCATGAACTTTTTTGAAAGGGGGACAAATGTCTGTCCACAGTTTCCCTTGTGGTACAGTAATAAAATGCACACTGACCCGGATCCCCTCACTCCCATTAAATGCAGTTGCATTTGGGGTAAATCAATCTCTTCCCCTTCCAAGAGCTCCAAGGACATGTCCCTCCTTTAACCTGTGGCACCCTCAGTTTCACCACCCAGGAAGTGAAGCCCCATCAGGTGACACCAGAATTCAAAGCTCAGCAGTGAAATTGGATTAGATTTCCAGAAGTCCAGGCAATTTTGCCAGATTTCTCTGATAGTCAGAATCACAAACTTATTTATTTTTGGTAAGGGGAGACGAGTGTCTGTCCCGTTTCCTTTGTTGTACAGTAATAAAATGCACAGTGACTCATGATCTAGATTTCCTCTGTCCCATTAAATGCACTTGTTTGGGGTACAGAATTGGTCCACTTGCTCTTTATAAATAAGTTGCTTACAGTTAAGAGAGTCCCATGGACTGCAAAAAGATCAAACCTATCCATTCTGAAGAAATCAGCCCTGAGTGCTCACTGGAAGGACAGATCATGAAGCTGAGGCTCCAATACTTTAGCCACCTCATGAGAAGAGAAGGCTCCCTGGAAAAGGCTCTGATGCTGGGAAAGATTGAGGGCAGAAGGAGAAGGGGACGACAGAGGACGAGATGGTTGGATAGTGTTCTCGAAGCTACCAGCATGAGTTTGACCAAACTGCAGGAGGCAGTGGAAGACAGGAGTGCCTGGGGTGCTCTGGTCCAGGGGGTCACGAAGAGTCAGACACGACTAAACAACAACAGAGTTAAGAGCAGGTGGGGGATTGCAGGTCTGTGTCCAGAGGAGCTTGCAGATTTTAGGGACTATCTTTTACTGGGACTGGATATACACAAGCAGAGCTCCATGTCCTTTGCTTTTGTTTCACTTGTGATGCTGGTGAAAGTCAAAGACAGTGTGAATGATGTGGATTTGGCATTTGGACAATGAGAGAGGGAGAGTGGCAGCATCACAGATGTATATATTTGTGTAATATAAAATGTTGCTATATAATTTACTGTCAGCTTAGATTCTTCACATTGTTTCTTCTAAGAAGAATGGGACTCCCAGATGTTGGTAATCACAATGGAGGGTGGGGAGAGTGACATTGGGCTCATGTCCTCTTCCTTCACCATCTTCTTCTTCATATTATAAGTTAATTATTATAAGATGATGTACCAATGTTATTTAACTCTAAAGAGCTTAGATCGAATATATAAGAATGTACCAAAAAAATGTTGGAAATGTAAGAATTGCAAGGGGTCATTCTGTCACATGTGGTAGACCTGTAGGAAGGCTAAGGTCTCTTGGGGCATGATATATAATGGGGGGGGGGGGAATCAAACTGACTTTTCCACGAGTCCAGAACCCTTCTGCCAGGGGATATTGGTCAGCAAAATTCCAAAGTCTGTTTATGTATGCAGCTGTATTCATGTATGCAGGTACAGTGGCAAAGGATCTTTATGCTCAGAGGTGGAAAGTTGTGAGAATAACCTGAAAAGAAGAATGAATGGTGAAAGCCTTAGAACTGGATTTTAATATTCTGCTGGAAGCCACCCAGAGTGGCTGGGGAAACCCAGCCAGATGGGCGGAGTATAAATAATATATTTATTATTAAATTATTATTATTATAATTTGCAGAGATGGCAAAGGTAAAGGAGGAGAGGCTGCTACAGCTGAGGCCCTTCCCCACATAATGCCACTTTCAAAAAAAATTCTGGCCATGTGTCCCTCTGTTGCTGAGATAGTGGCACTGGTTGCCAATTTTCTTCCAGGTCACATTCAAGGTGCTTATGTTTATTTCCACAGATACCTGAGCAATGTGAGCCCAAAGTGCCTTGAGGAGTATGCAATCCCTTAAGCTACACCTC